GGGAGTTTAGGCTATGATATAAGACCGAAATAATTAATGTAATTAACATTTGCAAGAAAAAAAGGAACTTGTATAGTGGTGAGTTGAAGGTATAATGATGTTACGTGATATCTTGTTTAAATTGATATATAACTTTGTAAATCAAATGTCATGTAGTTGTTTTTTAAAATGTGGATATATTTGGAGAAAACATGTGAAATATAAAGAGAAGTCAAACGCCTTTTGGAACCATTCAAGGGAAGATAGTAGTGAATGTCCAATTGTCATAGTCATAGGCTCTCCCTTCACTTTTCTTGAATTTCAAGATGTTGACACTTTGACAGTGTTTAGCTCTTGATCTTTGTTGACTCTCTTTTGCCTTTCTCAAAGATTATATTGTGATTTTCCACATTTGTTTTTGACATTCGCTTTTTACAGAAATAGAATATTTCGTTGCAATCCTGTCAAAAACAAATATTCGAAATGCACTAAATTTATATTCTATATTTATTTTTTCAGCATAGAGTATATAGAATGGTGAAATGATATGTCCTAAGTTTTGATCAGAATAATCTGATCATCATCTAATAGTGTTTTATCAAAATCGATAGATAACATTCGTAAATTTTGATAGAAAACTTAAGTAGCAGATAAAGATGACGATAACGTTTATAGTTTTTTAAAACGTTTATAGTTAACAAAATTATTTAGAGAAAAAGGATGAGACTTTTGATTAGATACTCAAAACATCAGTAAGTCTCGACAAGTTGGCAAAATCGGATATAATTATACTCCACCATGCATGAAAGTAAAAAAATAAAGTTCCTTTGATTCCATTCGTTATGTCGAAAATGTAGTTGTCCTCCAAGTAGTAAAGTCATGCAACTAATTAATGGATAATGTGTTATTTAACATCCACGCAAAAGCCTATATATTAATATACATTTAAAAACTCAATTGGTCTGCTCGGATTGAAGAAAGAATCTCATAAAATAATAAACTAAACTGATCAGTGTTCTTAGCTTTCAATTTCTGTCCGGTTGTATAAAATAGTCGAACCACTATGGTAGGAAGTATAAATAATACATTATACATGGCACGTACGTAACAAAGTGTTCATTTAGGTTAATGGGTAGGAAAATATCGGATACATGCATATGTGTGTAAAACCAGAAGACTTGAACATACTCAAGAAAATTAGGAATCTAATCAGATTTTTTGGCTAACATGATATCTATCTTAATATACTTGGACTCCAAATTTTCGGGTAATTGAGATTGTGTAACGGTTCGAATAGTCGAATCCAAATGAAAACCCATAGCACATTCGCACGAGTTCTTCTGGACACAAATTTTTTTAGATTCTCAAACTAAATACTAATCCAATTGAATACAAGAAAATAATAAAAATTTAATTATACAGACTCAAATAGAACTAAGCCAGATATATTAATGGGCCTCTCTTTAAAGCCCATTTAAAGCAGCTGTATGGGAAATTCCCGAGTATAGGAGAGTATAAGCCTCTTGAGGAACCCTAACAAGATTCTGACATATATATATACTGAAGTTTTTCTTTGGCTCCGTTCTTTTGCTGCCGCTTCCTCTTTCCCGCCGACTTCTTCTGCTCTCCAGCTCCGGCCAGGCCGTACAGGTACGTTCTGGTTAGGTTCGAATGTTATGCCATTGTGAAGGAACGATTCAACAGTCTTTTTTGTTTAGAGTTTGGTCTACTTTTGCGATTTCTGTCCGAAATTGTAGATTGATAGTCTTTGGTTTTTGCGATTACCTGTGAAATCATTTGATTTGTTCACTGATGCAGCTCGATTTTGATGTTTTTGTTTGAATTTGTGTGTACCAAATGGCACAAATTTGTTAATCTGAGTAAGAATAAGAAGAAATGAAAGATGATTTGGAGTTTTTAAGACTCTATCTAAACCTTTGATCTCTCTTGATTTGTCTGCTTCCCTCTAGATTGATTGTATCATTACCCAAATGTTAGATGTTTTCGCCACCATCGAATTTTTGGATTGAGACTAAGTTTTTAGATTCTTCAACAGTTTAGTAGTCATAAGTTAATGTATATATGTATTTTTCTACATTGTTATATTGATACTAACTTAGAGAATCTACATTGGTATAATCTTTCTCAAGAATATA